TAGGGACTCCCACATCCCACTAAACCCTATATGCATCTTTAGACACCTAAATGTCTGGCTAACTCCCTTTCCTTCTTCCACAATTCAATGGGAGACCTTCTTTGCTCAGTGTGTGTCCCTCTCCTTATCTGTGCTGAATGTGCTGAGTGTGATGATTCTCTCTGGCCTGCGTTACAGGCTGCTGGGAAGATGACGAACATCAGTGACCTGCCCGAAGATCTCCTGCTAGAACTCCTTTCCCTGGTCCCCGCCCGGCAGCTGATCTGTAACTGCCGGCTCGTCTGTGTCCTGTGGCGTGACATGATCGATATACCTACTCTGTGGAAACGCAAGTGCCAGCGGGAGGGCTTTAATCATCAGAAGTGGAACAGGACTATCTCGGACTGGAAGATCTTCTACTTCCTCTGCAGCCTGGAGAAAAACTTACTCAAAAATCCTTGTGCTGAAGGTTCACTCCTTTTTATTGGAAAGTACGGTGGGAGGGGAATTCCTTAGCAGCTATGAGGATGGTCAGTTTCATAGCCCAGCCCAAGGCCTGATCTCTTGGGCCTTGCCTACCCTGTGAATTATTGGCCCTGGTTACAGCCGTGTGAGTCTGTCTGCTGATATAATTGTGCTGGTGCAACCACTAGCATAGGCAAGTAAACCTGCACTCAGGAAATTTGAGGTGAGGGCTGTAAATGTCAGGCTGTAATCGCCCTTCTCTCCTTTTTGGCGATTAACCCTCTGTCTGCAGTTTGAGTAGCCTCACAGTCCTCTTTACAATCCCTTCCTAGAGAGCTTTCAGTTCTGGAAACTGGACTCCAATGAGGGAGACGAATGGAAGGTTGAGGACCTGCCTGGGAATCATGGGAGACACTTTCCCAGCCAGCAAGTGCACAAGTACTTTGTCACCTCGTATGGGTAAGAATCAGATTCTCATGCTTGGAAGCTGGGCCTGGAGGGAAGAGGGCAAACTGGCTGGCTGGGAGTGCACCAGACTTAAGGCAGGTGGGTGGAGCTTGGTCCAGGAAGAGCAAGCGGAACAAATAACTTAATTATGGTACTTTGTGGAGATACAGAGGGAGCATCCTTCTCTGCCTTCATGAGGCATCCTGCCAGCCAGGCAAATTCTCTGAAGCGCACTCAATGGCTACAAAACCCAGGAGAACTTTTTAGTGCAGATGGAAGCTCCTCACAGCTTGGGTTCTTGTTTCTTTTCTAATAGAAGCAATGGTCATACAGGTTAACGGCTACGTCTCCACTGGCGGCTTCTTGCGCAAGAACTCTTTTGCGGAAGAGTTCTTGTGCAAAAAAATCTTCCATAAGAGCGCATCCACACTGCCATGTGCTTTTGCACAAGAGCATCCATGGCAGTGTGGACGGTCTCCTGCGCAAGAAGGCCTCTGATGGCCATTTTAACCAGTGGGACTTCTTGCACAAGAAATTCATATTGCCTGTCTACACTGCCCTCTTGTGCATGAGCTCTTGCGCAAAAGGGCTTATTTCTCACGGGGGGAGGAATAACTCTTCTGGAAGAAGCCCTGTTTTACAACGCTATACCGTACATTTACTTGTGCAAGAATGCTCGTGCAGTGTAGACAGCAGGCAAGCTTTTCCGCAAGAACGGCTGTTCTTGTGCAAGAAGCTGCCAGTGAGAACATAGCCATTATGTAAAGGGTTGGTAAATGGGTTATAACGTAGACAGCTTTCCTCAGTCATTTGCCAGTAAGATTGAACGGTGTTTCCAAACGTGTGGGATAATCGGATTCAAGTTCTCGGTGTGTGTCTGGTTCCAGTAACCCACAATAAAAGGCAGTTGAGTAGGGGTCAAAGGCGAGTATTAGCTGCTGTTGAGTGGGTAGCACATCTGCTGCTGCATCCCTGAACCATGTGCTGTCTGGTCTACCATGTCTGGCACAGTACCTGGTGTTACTAATCTGCGGTGAGTTTGGGCTTTAAGTTAAAGGGAACCACTAAACTTCATTGGAGAGATGAGGAAATAGACTCAAAACCAAGTTGTATGTGAAGCTGAAAACGTACGTGATTTGTTCCCAGGTCGTGTCTGAAGTCTCAGCTCATTAACCTAAAGGAAGCGGGTTACTGGGATCAGCTGATGGATGAAGTACGGCCTGATATTACAGTCAGGGATTGGTGAGTGTGTGCGTTAAAAACTAAACTGTCTGCATATGCTATGATGTCTGGATTTCAGCTGGGATTACGTCAGTGGAACTCTTTGACTCTTAGCCTCCTGGGACTGTAATGATTTAATAAAGAACTAGTTAGGCTTGGGTCCTATTCCTAGTCTGGAAGGGATCATGATCAAGTGTTAACTCAGAGCCAAGATTCTGGAAATCTACTCCCAGCTCTGTCACTGGCTCACACAATGTCTGTGCCTTAGTTTCCCCTCCAAAGGCTGACAATACTGCCATCTGAACAGTTCTTTAAGGTTCTCTAAAGACAAATACTAGTTAATAGTAGCATCACCTTTTGGGTTACTATAACACTGGGGACACCATTAGTGATATGGAGGGCTGGATTTCCTATCCTATGGGCAGGATTTCCGAGCCCCTGTATAAAAGGACTAGTCCTTGCCATGCCAAAAGCAGGGAGGGCTTGTCTCTAGCAATGGACATCCCCAGAAGAGTGACTGCCCTGTGGCAGGTGTGTGTATCTTCCCAGTGCCTGACCTCTCGCTGTCTCTCCAGGTATGCTGCCAGGTTTGACTGTGGGTGCCGTTACAAACTCTGCGTGCGGCTGCTCTCTGCAGAAAACATTGTCCTTCATGAGTTCCGTCCGCAACCAGTGGTCATGAAGCAATGGAGTGAGATTGATGTACAGTGGAGAGAGGTGAGGAATCCAGGGAGCAGCTGTGCTGGCAGCAGCTTTTAGAAATCATGAGTGGTGTGGAGAGGGCTGATATAGAAAAGTTATTTATTAGTTCCCATAATAGAAGAACTAGAGGACACCAAATGAAATTAATGGGTAGCAGGTTTAAAACTAATAAAAGGAAGTTCTTCTTCACACAGCGCACAGTCAATCTGTGGAACTCCTTGCCTGAGGAGGCTGTGAAGGCTTTAACAGGGTTTAAGAAAGAACTAGATACATTCATGGAGGTTAAGTCCATCGATGGCTATTACCCAGGATGGGTAAGGAATGGTGTCTGTAGCCTCTGTTTGTGAGGCTGGAGAGGGATGGCAGGAGACAAATCGCTTGATCATTGTCTTCGGTCCACCCTCTCTGGGGCATCTGGTGCTGGCCACTGTCGGTAGACAGGCTCCTGGGCTAGATGGACCTTTGGTCTGACCCAGTACGGCCGTTCTTATGTTCTTAGATCAGTGCTGTAGTTTTAACATGTGACTCTCATGTGAACAATGGCTGGATAACAGTGGGTCTCGCTTCCCCAACACATCTTCTCTCTTTGGGCATGCAGCTCTAATGTTATTCTTTAGTGGCCCTGGAGAAGCACAGCAGTGGGAGAGGGAGCTGGGTTCAGTAGAGGTTGCAGATGCTCAGCACTTGCTATAGTTGTTGAAATGTGGAGGGTTGAAATAAATGCAGATATTGAAATAAATATTAAACTGGTGCAAGACATTGTGTAGATATTATTTTGGTTTGTTTTAAACCTCTTCCAAATCTAACTAAGCAGAGAAACCATTCTTAAACCAGAGAAAGAGCTCACCAGCAAAACTGGGCACCTCAGGTTATATTGAAACAGCTTTCTTGTGTAGATAAATCTTACATTCAGAGGACACTGGCCTGAAATCAGGGTAATACCCAGTGTAGACAATGCCATTGTCATTGGAAACATTTGTATTTTATTTTTTAAACAAATGTCCTGACCTGTTGCTTTAATGAAATATTTTGTTTGTTTGGGTTGCAAGAAGATTTAAAGCAGAAGATTTAAAAATCCAAATATTTTCTGATAAGCCTGCCACTATCGGAATCTAGTTTAACAATAAGCATATTGCTACCTCTGGCACCAAATCACTTATCAAATATGAATGAAAAGCTTTGAAAATTAATCTTTTCCCCCCTCTGCTGTAACATTTTTTGTTTTCTATGCTTCCATCAGTGTTACTGAGAATCCAGTTTCACTTTTGCAGCAGGGAACTGTTGGTTAAGATACCAACCAGCTTTTGTGCTGACATTTCCAAATCCTTCCTGGGCAAACTCCTATTAGCATTTTGTCAAAACAATTTTGTAAAGAAAAGCCAAGCTGAGTCAGATATCATTAGCCTGTCCTCTTTGGTGCGTCTTTAACTTTGTGTCTGAATTCCCTGCATCCTTTAAGGTCTGGATTGCTCCTCTTTCCTGGAAGTATTTTAAAATACCTGTTGTGGGCCTCAGTGTTACTTAATATGGGAGAGGCAGCAGCCAGAGGAGTCATTGATACACAGCAACAGCAGCTGGCCCAGTATGAGAAGGGAAGCTGGAAAGGGGAGGTGACTCGTTAGAAATAGAAGGGAAATTTGACTGGTGACTGATAAAGGTGACCTGAAAAGGAATAAGAGATTGGGTGAGTGCTTTGTAGGACTTAGAGCTGAAGCAGTCAGGTGTGTGTGTTTCTCTGCTTTCTTTTTTTTTTCTTCCCAATTTAGGCAGTGCAGGAAGATTGGTTTTCCTGGCAGAATAGTAGGGAGAGAGGGAGGTCATAGAAGAAGCAGTGTCAGTGTCATGGCAGCATTCAGCTTATTGAGTAGAGCAGTTTGCAGCCGCTGGGACACTTGAATCCTGGAGCTGTTGCTGGAGGACACTTGGTACACAGCCACACAGGCACTCGGCTGGTACAACAGTCCAGGCAGAGAGGCTAATATCACTCATGCTGCTGTTACTTCACTGGCTGGAGTTCAAAGCTGTGTTGGCAGAACTCAAGCTTTGTGTGTAGACACGTGTGCGTGGCTGTGCTGTTAGAAGCCAGGTTTTGCTAGGAAATCATCATCATTTGTTGTTGCATCAGTGCCTAAGAGCCTGAAACAAGGACCAGGAGCATTATGCGCGATGCAAACTCAGAACAAAAAAGACAGGCTTTGCCCCCTGAGCAGACAATCTAGCATAAAACAGACAACAGAAGAAAACAAACAGGCAGCACAAGGAAAACACTAGCAGCCTACACCTAGTATTAAAGACCAAGTCTTGATGATCTAATGGAAGATGGGTCAAAATCCCTGCAACTGGTTTGAAAACACCAAGTAATGATTCTTCACCAGCAGTAGCACCATAGATGCGGAAGCTACTGACTTAGCAAAGGGTTTCATCTTTCCCTGTGCACTGGGTGGCTAAATGCACAATGCCTGTCTAAGCAACAGTATCCAGTGCTGCCATGAGCTGAAGGAGGGAGAACTTTGAGATACTAGTACCTAACTATAGATACCAAGGAGGCTTCCAGGATAGACAAGGCTGGATTTTAATGTGAATCTTTATTTTAACCTTTTCAGGCCTTCAGTATAAAATAGCACAAGCCTCTGTCTCTTTTCGCCTCCCCACTCAGAGAGAGTATTCATGAGCTAACTTTTTTACAAGGCCATCGCTTTCCCACAGGGATGCCTGCTAAAACTCCTCCCCTTACCCGCCTCCGCCCCCACACAGGGCAATACATCTCAAAGCCTGAGTCAGCTGCCCCAGGCTTGTGTTAAAAATAGCCTGTTTGGGCTGTAATCCAGGCTCTGAGAGCCACCCTCCTGCTGGGCTGCCCTGCCTCTGAGACTCCTTGCCTTGGGTTGCTGTTGGGTTTTTGCAGTGCAACCGTGCTCTTAGTCACAGGACAGGGGTGGAGTTTATCAGTCAAAGTGAAAAATTTCTCTCTCCCTTTCTTACCCCTCAGATCTCTCACACTTTCCAGAACTACAAGGCTGGAGTTCGTTACATCTTCTTCCAACACGGCGGAGGAGACACTCAGGGCTGGGCAGGATGGTATGGGTGCAGAGTGACCAACAGCAGCATCACCATTGAGCCAGGGACGTCCGCGTAGAGGTTCCATGGGGAAGACTCAGTCTCTGGAACCAAAGGTCGCTCGTCGCCCTTCAGTTAATCTGGGTGAATTCTGCCAGTTCAGACTTTGTTTGGTATCAGATTTGGTTTGCTTGGTTGTTTTTTTCCTGCTGTCCCCAGCCTCTCTTGTGACTGTGTTTCCGTACTCTGGCAGACATCTGACAAGCGAGCTCTCGGGAGTGGCAGCCAGCCTCCTACAAGCTCTGCCCTCTGAAATGGCTCTTCTTCCTTATGCTTTCTTTGCCAGGCCAAGCTGCAGAGTTTCTCCCCCAGGGCGGGGAGTGTGCCCCAGGGCTAAGGAATCTGCCTCTTCTAAAGTACGTGGGCTTGGCTGTAGCACAAGGAGCCGAATGTCAGAAATGGGGGCCCCTGCAGCACTTTAAAGGAGACCTTCAAAGGGGTGGAGATTAGGAAGTGAGGATTGTGCCTGTGGGTTTCTGTAGAACAGCTGAGAGGTGTAAAAACCTAGTGAGCTTGGGAGGTTGAAACAGGGGGTTCTAACTCAGCATCCTGTCACTCTGCCCCCCCATTCATGCTAATTGAGCTGGAATTGAAAGACAGGCTGTTGGCAGAGGAAGCCAGTTATTGGAGTAAGGGAAAGCTAAGGGGCTTGGTGCATAGAAGTATCTCCAGAAGTGAGAGCTGCTATCAGCTGAAAGGAAGGAAGAGGGGGATCCCGGAGGAAGGCAGAAGTAGGCAGGACTGGCTAATGTCACTACTATTGTGCCCTGACCCAGAAGCAAAGGGCGATGCTACTGACTCACTGCAAACCTCAAGGGTGGTGAAGGAGAGCTGGAGTGGGTGTGGTTTGCCGTTAAGGGCTGCAGGAACTCACCAGGGACCACTTGCGGGCAGGGACTTTTGTTGTTTTACCTGCTTTAGGATCAGGATTTTCAGGTCCTTTGAGAGCAGCATTTTGCTTGGACATAAATATTGCTTCTCTCACCTTTGGGTTTAGGGCTGTTGTGAACCTTTCGAGAGCTTGGTTAATTGTCTGTGGTTTCCGTTGTTAGAGACGTGAACAAGTTCTCAATGGTCTGAATTAAACTGCTTTCTTGGAATCGCTAGTCAAACATATGGGTTCTCCAGGCACCTATAGAAGCTTCCCTGGAAAATAAAGTGAGACTCCAAATTGTAGCATGTAAAGCAAGTGACAAAAAAGTTGCCAGGCCTCCTTTATATGCTGAAAACAAAACCACCTCCTCAAGCCCATGTCATCTCTCCCCCCTTCCTACAGTGTGAAAAAAATCTCACTCTGATTTCAACCCTGGGTGTCTGGGATAGCTACGGATTGACTAAATGTAGCGGGGCTGATGGAACCAGGCTGTAGCTTTTCCTGTACACTGGGGCCTCACTGCTTTAGTGTGTGGCTAAAAAGAAGGGTCCTGGAGCATCCTAGCACCAAGGAAAGGAAGTGGGGCAGAGAGGAGTGAGTTTTCTTTACACCTGAAGTGCTTGTGCTACTGGCTGGCTAACAGGAATCAATAAAGTGAAATTTGGAAATCTGCATATTGCTAGTCTATTACTTTAGTCTCTTTCGTCTGACAATTCTGCTCTGACACTAGGAGTAGGGCATCAGGCGATTCCACGGTGCCCATCTCGCTGACTGGTCATCAAGGGAGCTCAGTGAGTAAAAGGTATTTCTTTGTCAGCCTTACCTCCACTCACTGCTCTTCCCTTTTCTACCCTCACCAATACTACAAGTTTTTGCAGTCCCTCCCCCTGAGGCCTGGTTTTGATAAAGGGTGTTGTGTAGACTTTATTGGGAACAGTGTTAGTGAGCGTTTGTAACAGCAGGGGGAGTTTTACCATATAAATGATTAACTCCATGTGCTATTTAAAAAAAACCCTCCCTCAAACAACTCTTGTAGGAGCTCAGACAAGGAACAGATGCCTCAGGTTGCAGAGTAATAACACTGCACCTCACAGAGGATCCGGAGGGGGCGGGGGCGGAGCTGAGTCAGGAGATGGGCCTATGCTACAAGGACAATGCCCTTGTTTATTGTTTCTCCCACAGGATGGAGAGGAGACCCTTCCTAGAGAGGCAGGAGGGTGGTGCTGTATTACCTTTGCCATGGGAACTGCCTCTTCTTGAGTGAATCCTGAGTGCTGGGTCTCCAAAATATTGCATGTTGTCTGAGTGTGGCATAGGGAGGCCCAGCATCTTGTGTGTACAGCGCTAGTTTCCTAGGGATCGATAGGATGTGAGGGTAACATCTTTCTTCCCATAGAAATGTATGTGCACAGGGGATATTGGATTCCACAGGAATCTGGGAGTTCTCCACCCCCTCTTAAAAACTTTCCCATGGAACCATGTGGTCATCGCTTGTGTCTAACACTGAAAACAAAGAGAGAGCAAGTCCACTGGGTGCAGTGGTGCCAGTTACACTTGGTGACAGAGCGAAATGGTGCTCTGACCAGTAAAGTCCCTGTACCTCTACTGCTCAGGGGGAGGCTGTGTTTGCAAAGATTCAGGCTAGCGCCACACTGGTAAAACTCGCTCAGTATTTATTGATAACTACAGATCACTCACAGGGGACACACATTGTATGTCAGGACCCCCTCATCCCTGCTGTAAGTCCAGCGATTTCAGCGGAGTCACAGCAGGAACAAAGTTGGCCCCCAATCTCAGGCTTCCAACACAACAAACCCATCTTATCCAGCTGGATGCTCAGAGGTAAGAAAAATGGTCATTGACATACAAGTATCAATGTACAATTGAGCTGCCCTATTAATGCTTAAATTGGGCTCGTAAAAACAAAATGAGAAGTCCTGATTCCCACCTGCAGCTTGTATTACACCCCCCCCTCCTGCTTTGTATCTGAGGATTTACTAAAACACTCCACACACAAACCCACACCAAACAGCCTGCTCACATGTAGGAGTCAGTTCTATATAAAGCGAGCAGTAAGGGCACTTTAAACTCATAGTCACGTGGCCCTCAGTAGCTGCTCGAGGGACATTGTCACTGGAGCCAGCTGAAAAAGCACCTGTTCACTAGGTAAGTTGCATCCCAGTAGTAGACACCTGATTCCTCTGGATGATCTGAGCCTTGGACAAGGCTGAAGATGATTAGAAGAGTCAGCATCAGGTACCTTGTGGGCTCTTTATTCTACATAGAGCTGCATCTAGAAGAGAATAACAAAAAGGGATTAAGAAAGGAACCATGCAGGCTAACCGATCTAGGTGTGTGTAGTATCTTCTGCAGTATTGGTTTAATTCCGTTAGGAGAACTGTACTGTAGAGGGAGGAAATCAGACTTAATCAGCTGGGTTTTCACCACAGTTAGCACCTGTTGTCGGAGTCTATTTCAGGAGATGGGGTAAGCTGGTGCTATAGGGCAGCAACAAAGAGGTAAGGATTCAGTCCAGGGATTTATTTTTGCTCTAGGTCCACACCTTCAAGGAGCCCAGTTTCAAGGGGAGTCTTGGGCGCATTGTTAGGAGGTGCTCGGTCCCTCACAATCAGACTATTAGTGGGCAGGGGTTGCAGTAAAACACAAAGCATTCACAGACCGGAGCTACAGCCCAGCTTTCCAGCAGCTGGCTGTGCCATAGGCTCATCTCTGACAGCAGGGTCATTGTTCTGTGGCTTGTTCATTGGCCACTTCAGCCCTCGTAGACTGACTGACTCCCTGCTTACTGGTGATGGGATAATAAGGCCAGTGCATCCTGCCACAAAAAGGGCTTCATACTTTGGATGAGGAAGGTCCCACCCTCTCATGCTTGCCTGGGCTCAGTGCACAGTGACTCCTGGGTCAGCAGCTCCGGCTGGGGTAAGATGATTCACAGCAGTGGTAAGCCAATGCCCTGCAGGTGACCGATTCCCTTCACCCTGGGGAGTATGAATAGACTGAAGTAGTGCTCATGCCAGGCTGGGCCTGCACTCTGCTCACCTTTAAGATGTCCGAGGTCATGGTCTTCAGGGGGATTAGCCGGGGGTCATGCATGTGCACGTCCTGCTCATCTGCCAGGATCCATGGGAAGTCCTGGAGCAGGAATAAAACAGGGAGAATGAGCTGCAGAGAGCACCCTCCCTTTCTGCCATCCTCAGAGGGCTTGAAATGGGAGCAGTGTTGGCTGGAGGTGGCAAGGATCCACTGCTGCCCCACCCTTTGGTCTTCTGCACCCCACTAGTGCTCCTGTCCTGCCCCCCGTCTTGTCATTGGGTCCATGAGAAGAGGAGTTAGGAGGGACTGGGGGCGGACGGGGGGACCTGAGGCTGTGAGAGGGATAACAGATTGGAGAGGGGAAGGACCAGAGGCGAAGCGTGTGTCTGAGCAGAGGGACATGCGGCCTTGCTGCTGATGTGCTGGGGAGATAACTGGGAGCCCACAGCTTCCAAGTTGTTTATAGAGGAAAGCCTCACGGACAATCCCCACCACGCCCATCCCTCAGCTAGTTTAACAGTGGAAGCGGAGCTGAGGTGTCTAATTACTATGGTTTCCATTGTCCTATACACTCAGAAACCTCACTCCTCCTCCTCCTATTCCCTTCTCCAGACCTCCACTGTCAGGCCTTATCCTCTGCACTGGAGCTACAGCCTGAGAACAAACCAAAGTCATCCAGAGGAGAGAGAGTGCTCAGCACCTTGCAAGATCAAATCTTTAGCCACTTACTCATCTGGAAGCCAGGTATGCCATTTTGCCAGCAGGTTGCCGACTTTCCCGTAGGGATGCTATTGCCCCAGGAGTCCTAGCTGACATCCAGGCAGGCTGCTGGCCTGCCTGCCCAGCCCTAGGCTCATGGGGTTATCTGAGCTGGGGAGGAAACAGATCATTATGGGAGCTCCCTGGGCCAGATGGAGGGGCCCTTTAAAATATCAGTTCCTAAAGTGAAATTCGGAGGGAAGGAAGCAGGCACTAGCTGCACCTGGCTGGTGAGAGGGAATCTACCTGATGGAAAATAGAGGTGGCTGAGTGATCTCAAAGACAAATCTCTCCATGGGGTGGTGCTCTTTATCCAGGATCACCACCACCACCTTCTCCACATCATTCTGCAAGCACAGACAGAAGGTCAGGAGCTCTACCCCTGACCATCCCTTCTCTGCTCCCCACCTGGCTCTGATGCGCCCTATGAATTAGGAACATATCTAGCCCCACATCACTTCAGTGTATTCCCAGCGCTTCAAAAGGCTGCTAGATGGCTCTGGCTACAATCAAATGTCTTATCCATTTATTACTGGATATGAGATCCCACCTGGGGAGACTATCCTTAGGACTTGTAGGGAACTGGAATCCAGCAAATAGGACTTTTCCTTCTCTAGCTACTGCTACATGGAGAGACAACAGCCAGCCTTCAGAGGCTTTCTGTCTCTCCCCTGCCCAAGTTCAAAGGACACCAGGAAGGAAAGAAGCAGTCCTGTGGCACTTTAGAGACTAAAAAATTAGTACGAGCTTTCATGGGCAAAACCCACTTCATCAGATGAGCAGGAAGGCTCCATAGATTAATTTATGTCCAAATAAGTGTTTAAAAATCCTAAAGTCATTTAACTCAATATATTGAGTTACAATGGAAAGAGGGTTTAAACAAATTAAACTCCTTGGTGTTGGCAACCAACCCCTGCAGCTTTGTGGCAAATACTCAAAAGTGAAATGGATGAAAACTAACCAGGAAGTGAACCTGCCCTATTTCAGTCCTCCACACTGAGAGCAATGCCAAAGTGGGAGGAGTGAAAAACAGACTAAGGCAATGTGCTCTGCACAGCCAGACCCCTTCTCCTGGGTGGAGCTCACGGCAGGAACAGGGCCTTAGGCATGTGTCTAACGTTGCTTGAATTAATAATCCCACTGTCTTCCATAAGGCTGCTCACATAGGTAACGTTACTTATGACTAAGCGTCGCCAGGATTTATAATCTTTTTTAAAAGCGTGTGTCGGTTTTAATCATTTGACCATCTCACAGTTAGGGACATATATACAGTTTGCAGTCTGATGGTGTCCCTTCTGTTTCAGTGTGAATAAGTGAATAGCACCAAACCTGGATTTTGACAGTAAAGAAACATATAGAAACTGATTAGGTCACTAACGCTTTACAAATATCTGTACCAAATATAGAAAATATTGTCACTTACAAACACTGTTTCTGTAAATACTGTTTCTATAATAGCCGGACAATTTATTGTAAAGTCCTCTAACCATTTGTGACCAGAGCAGTTGGGGGGCGGCACAAAGATTATGCCCAGCATGAGGATATCTGGCATGGCCTCACCTTCTCGAGTAGTGGCTTCACACAGTGCAGCATGTCCTGGAAGTACTGATTCAGCTCTGGGTGCAAACAGAATGTGAACTTAGTGCTATGTTCTGAATAGCTAGAGACGGGCAGGGGAGCCGACAGCCATGCTGGGTCTCTGGGCAAGATATGTGGGAGGGGAAGGAGGGGAGAGCTCCCCACTCCCCAAAGGGGTGGGGTCTTGGAAGGGATGTGGAAGTTCCTTGCATGGTGGCGCATGTAGGCAGCTCCTTTGGAGCTTTGCTGGTGGGCAGCCAGGCAGGCTTTCATTCTGAATAGC